CTTTCTTAAATCTCAGTTCAAACATAGGCTGAATGGGATTGCGATTTTGTTGTAGAACAAACTTGATGTCTGTTAATGCTAAACATAAGAAAATGCAGGAAATTCATACAAGTTTGTTATTAATCTAGCATTACATTTGCGGATGTTGTTATTTACACTTTTCTTCTCATCGTTATAAGTTATACTTATATGTTCGTGATCATTGCTGCTGCAGCCATTGAGCCTTTAACGAGCGAGCAAGGCAGCAGACATAATTGATGTAGTTGGGATTTTTTTAAATTTTGCCTTAGCGCATTGCATTATGGTCAAATATTAGATAGACCCACAATGCTATGCATCAATAAACTTTATCTGTTATCTCTCAACTCTATGACTTTGCAAGGTTCATATCTTCGGTTCGGTGTATGCTATGAAGACAAAAATACTACCATTCGATTTAGTGGAACAAAATCTCCTAATTCCCACGCTAAACGATAGTTTTCGTCAAATGTCCACAATATTTATAGCTTATTTATGAAGCGGTATCATGTTTCTTATATTCGACCAATGTAATCTGGCAAAAGCCATACATTTCGCCGACCATAACTTCGGGCACTTTGGACATATTATTTTCGTAATAGTCTTATTCGAACCAGTATCCAAAACACTATTTGGAGTGTCGTACAGTGTTATTTTCAAGTTTGTGTCTTCAGATTTTCATCCTTTATTTCGGTGTTTACAGAATATTTATATTTTTAGCGCGGCCCATGAAACGTACATCAAAACAAAGTGTTGTTTACATCCTTGGGCAGGTGAAAGTACTCACAGTGGTTGCAGTACGTGCTTTTCGATTCTCATATTTATAGTCTTTATATGCCCAAGAATACACGGCCGCGTGCGTGCAATAAAAACCTGATATTTTGAAAAATTCAAAGTAAATATTTTTACTTGCCGTATACAAACGAAACTTTCTGCATGAAAGCGCTTGAATACAACGAGTATTTTACTCACATTGACTCTGCGCAAATTCTGAAGAGTTTAGAAGATTTTCAAGTTTTTTCTCGATATAAAATAGAGAATATTTTTCCCTAAAAGCGGTGAGTATAAATATATGAATTTAGATCGGCTGCTCATGTTGTTTATTTCATCAAAAGAGCGTACTAAAAACCTGGTATCCTCGTTTTTAGTTTTGCCCTTTTTTCGTATCTGTGAAGCAGATATATTGCTATCGCAAACATGCCGTAGCGTATCGTACCGTACCGTATCCCTAGCCATTCAGCGACGAGCTTATATAATTTAAGCCAATTTAAGCCAATCAGCGATTAGCTTACATCAATTGTTTACATCGTGCCCGCGTCTAACCTGCGAACGGGTATCGTTTCGCCTCTTGTAATTCATGTTATTCTTGCCATATTTCACATTTTGGCTCCAAAAATATGTTGATTTTGTCCTGTTTTCACCATTCTACTTGCGATATTTATATTCCGAAGTTATCTATCAACATCGAAACTTATTCTCATCTAGTAAGTAGTCAAATACACATATTTTAATATTTTATTATATACATTTATACAGTAAAACAACCATTGTGTGTTAATATTTTAAACAGCCAAAACATAGCAGGCAATACAATATATTTCCCATGAACAATATTACAGGAAACTAATGTTCTCAGGAGATTTTGAATTAAATCCTTGTTTTGTATTTTTGTAATTCTGTTCAAAACAACAGTCCAACTAAGCAGTCGTCAAATGTATAGTGTTAGAACAAAGGTTAGATGTTATTACTTATTTTATATTAAGTTAAAATATTTATACATTTTGGTTTAATACACATTAGAGTTTATAATTAAACAAAATTTTTACAAACATTTTCAATTCATTTTCATAATTTCATTGCCATTTTGCTTTCTAACATAAATGTTTTTGCTTAGAGATTTAATAATACAAGAATGATGAATAAATGTACTGGAAATTGGATGGATAATTTTGTCAGAATATAAACAGCCACTTGCAAGACAATCTTCCCTAAATTCATTAGTATGGAAAATAACTTAACAGCTACAAAATTCATATATGGATGGATCAGATAAATGGCACACAATATATCTACAAAACTAAACTTGTGATACCTTCTACTCAAACCGATATGCTGTGTTAAACCGAACAGTGTCGCATATCATTAACTGTGTACCGGATTGGAATTGACTTATATACTACACTTATGACCTTCAAAAAATTCTCTACTATTCAGTGTTCTTCGGCTATGATCGACTCATTGCTACAGTAATAAAGGAATACCGAATGGTTTTCCGTGCAGGATTGCGTGATGCATGCACGCGGGATGTTGCGAGACTTTCGGAAAGCGTAAAAATACACGATCCGTAGGCGAGTGTATTTTTACGCTTTCCGAAAGTCGAGCAACATCCCAAGTGCATGGATCATGCTATCCTGCACGGGAAAACCATTTTGTAATTGTTTTATAAAATTACTGCAGTGAAACGACGCTTAACTTGATTAAAATTAAGTTCTTTGAATGTTTGCATGGCGATAAAATATATTTGTTTTTTTTTGTGGAAACACCACGTAAATTTATTACTGCAAAGCTTTCGATCCGTAAGCCCGGATCTTCATCAGTGCTAATAATATGATTAAAATTATAATTAAAATTAAAATTAATTTCTGATTAAAATTACTGATGAAATGTGCAATTCTCACAACATTCGTGAATTAACCAATCAATACAATACAATACAATACAATACAATACAATACAATACAATACAATACAATAAAAAATTATTTATCCACGGTGGAATCTTCAGTATATATATATATATATATATATATATATATATATATATATATATATATATATATATATATATATATATATATATATATATACAAGTTTAAGCATGCAAAAATAAATAAAAGAATATGGTCTACTGGTTTACAAGATTGCCGTGTGGGAGTTCATCTAAACTATTATAATACTTGTTTACAGCTTTCCGGAACTGAGAAAACGATTGAGTATTTTGAACATCAAGCCAGCTTTAAGTTTTTTGCGTCTCAACGATAAGTTATCCAAGTGTAAAGCATCAAGAAGCACAGTAGCATTAGTGTCATAGCTGGGCCTCGTAATGACCCTGACCGCCCGGTTCTGTAATTTTTGTAGTTTAGAACTTAGCGTTTCGCCAAGACCATCCCAGACCGAACAGCAGTAGTCAAAATGAGGTTGAATCAGTGCTTGGTATACTTGGATAGCCGTGTTCGTTGAAATGAAGGATCTTATACGTTTTAAAGCCCCTATGGCTGAAGCAATTTTTTTACATAGTTTATCAGTATGCTCAGACTACATAAGGTGATTATCAAGATGGACACCCAGAGATTTTGCCGAAGTAACTTGGTTGACCATATTACCGTTTATCTCAATATCTATTTCATTATTTAGTGTTTTTATTCTCTGTCTAGATCCAACTACCACGAATTCTGTTTTTACAATATTTAAGCTTAGTTTATTAGTGGTTAGCCAATCGCTTAGACCTTTCAAATCGGTGGTAATGACATTTTGGAGCACTTTGGCTGGGTCGGACGCATAACTAGATAGATAGATAGTTTAATAGATAGATAGTTTAATAGATTTTACATATTGCGAACATTCTTGCAGTTGTATGATCAAGACAGTTCGGTAAATCATTAATGTAGATGAGGAATAGCAATGGCCCTAGACTGCTACCTTGAGTGAAACCGCAGGCCACTGGCACAGAATCTGACAGTTGACCGTTTACCCGGCACTTTTGAGTTCTATCAGTGAGATATGAATGAAACCAGGTTAGACTGGTTTCGTCAATACCATAATTTTTAAGCTTTTGCAGGATAATTTGATGATCGATCGTATCAAAAGCTTTCTTTAAATCAATAAATACAACTCCGTTAATTAGGCCATTGTCAATATTCATGGACCAGTCGCTTGTGGCTTCTAGCAACGCTGTTAGGGTACTATGAAACGGTCGAAACCCATATTGGCATGTGTTCAGCAAATTATTTGAATCAAGATACCCATGTAGTTGATCGAAAATGATTTTTTCAAAAATTTTAGCAACACATGGAATAATTGATATAGGCCGATAGTTGCCTGGGTTATTTCTTGTGCCACTCTTAAATACTGGCGTTACTCTGCTTGCCTTCCATTCATACGGGAATATTCCGGTATTTATAGATGCAGTGAATATTCCTGTTAACGAGTGTGCAATAACACTTGCAGCTATCTTTAGGAATCTGTTTGGTATATTGTCTAAACCAGCTGACTTCTTATCATCTAATGTAGTCAGCAGTTGATAAACTGTGTTAACGGAGGGAGTTTTGAGAGAGAAAGATTTATCAGTTGGTTTAAGATAAAATACTGGATCACGCACAGGAGCAGGAATATCGGAAGCAAGTTTTTCACCAATACCTGAGAAGTAGCTGTTAAATGTTTCAGCTATTTCTTCAGGTGCAGTTATTTCTCGCTCTTCAAAATCTAATTGTGTTATCTTTTTAGTTTTGCTTACATTTCTAGAGCTTAGTTCATTTATAAGATTCCATGTTTTTTTCATGTTGCCTTTACTCGATTCAAGATTATTCTTATAATAAGCTTATTTAGTTTTTTTAATTTCATTATTAATGTGATTTCGAGTTTGTCGATATTGATGCCAGATTTTAGGATCATTGCATGATGTAACAGCTTTCTTTTTTAGGTAATCTCGGTTAAATATCTGGCGTCTTAAATCTTTTGTAATCCAGGGAGATTTTCTATTTCTAATTCTCCTGGAGATTTTCTATTTCTAATTCTCCACGCTATTGAAAACAACAACATATGTGAACAGAATTTGATTCGCGAAAATATACAGCGAAAATACAGGGACTTTTTCGATAAAATATACGAAATTTGTAATGGAAAACCCGCTAAACAGAGAGCCAAAGTAGTTATGAAGATTCTCGACCTGAATATGTGAAGATTGCGAAGCGTTTGATTAACTTTGAAGCGACCGATGTTGTACTAGCATGCCATGGACTGATGAATTTCAACGCTACGCGTTGCTACTGCTGAATAGCAATGTTCGATCAGATCTAGAAATTTATTCATACAACTAAACCAACGTCTCAATAATTGGAAACTTACTTCAAAGTCGAAAGGTATCTGTTGTATATTTCATACGGCCGCCATCTTTAATCTCAAGCAACACTGATCTCTAACAATTCACTGAATACATAACATCCCCTCCAACGTCAATAAAGGATAACTAAACAAAATATGAAACTAAGAATTCTTTAAAGTAAATGTCCCCAAAACTAAAAGTCTTTATGGGTCTTTAAAGGTCTATAAGTCTCTAAGTAATGAATAATGTCATTCATATATTAAATGTTCAACTTAGCTGGTTTTCTGCTGATTCTTCTACTTCTCGTAGTGTAGTGTGTGTGGTGAGTTTCTGATCCTAACTTCTTGACAGGCGTTTCCTTGTCTTTCACCGTGGACGTTGCTGTTTCTACTGGTGGGTGATGAGCTGGTGGTACGCTTACCGGGTTTGGGTTATCAAGGGTTTCTTGCATTGGTGGCTCATATCGTCATTGGTACCGTAATAATTCTCTGCTACTTCCACTGCTGATCTTCCTGAGTCTAATCTTAAGGCTACTCGGTTACGTCTAAGCTTTCGTTGTCCTGTGTCTACAATATACGACCGAGGTGATGAATGATGGTCGACCACAGTTGCTTGTCTCCATAGCTTCGACCCTGGTTCTGGTCGGATTCTTACGAGTTCACCAGGTTTCAGTGGGGATAGTTCTTTTGTCCCATGGCGGTTATGGTAATAGGTTTGCTTTTCCTTTGCATGGCGCATTCGTCTCTTGATATCATTTGTGTTAATGCTTCGGGCTCTAACAAACTACGTGCTATCGGGAGGTTAGTTCTCAGTCTTCTCCCCATGCTGTACATAGCTGTGATGGAGACAGGTCAATGCCTGCTAGTGGTGTTGTTCGATAGACCAACAGCGTTTTGTGCTTGTCATTGTTCTTTCTCCACAATGATTTAACGATTTCTACCGCCACCTCTGCTTCTCCGTTTGCTTTAGGATGTTTTGGACTTATCAAAACGTGCTGGAAGTTGTAGGCTTTCGCAAAATTCTTAAAATCTACGCTTGTATACTGTGTGCCACAGTCTGTCGTCAGCCTTTCTGGAATACCATGTCTCTCAAAGTGTCCTCTCAGGGCTTCGATGGTACTAAAAGCTGAGAGGTCGTTGAGTTCTGTGACTTCAATGTACTTGGAGTAGTATTCTACTGACAGTACATAGTTTTTGCTCTTGAACGTAAATATGTCAGATGCTGCTTCGGCCCATGGATAGTCTGGTGTCTTGCTCGGCATCATCGGTTATTTCTGTTGCGCTGCTGCATAGTCATGACAAGTACTGCAGTCCTTTACTTTCGCTTCGAATTGAGAACTCATGCCCGGCCAATACAGCGCTTCTCGTGCTCTCTGCTTGGATTTCACAATTCCTTGGTGAGTCTCGTGCACCAGCTCTATCATTTCCTGTTGCATTGATGGTGGTACTACGATTCTCATTCCTCGGTAAGTTACGCCGTCCAACATTGCTAATTTATCTCGATTGTTCCAGAATGGTTTGACGCTGTGAGGCACTTGCTACTTTGTGGTGGGCCATCCTACCTGGATGACAGCATACAAATCGTGTAGCTCATTCGCAGTTCTTTGTTGCAGTTCCTGGCATTTGTATTGCGTGACAGATATTCTCTCAGGCATGTTGACTTGAAACTCCTTTCTTTCGGGTGGCATAACATTAAGACTGGCCCTGCTGAGCGTATCTGCGATGACTTGCTTCTTGCCAGGAAGGTATTCAACTTTCAAGTCATATCCTTTCACTTTCAACATCATGATCTGCAGCCGCAAGGGTGCTGACAGCAAAGGTTTGCGAAAAATTGTCTCTAATGGCTTGTGATCAGTCTGTACTACAGTTTTCTTTCCTAGGATGTATTCTCTGGCTTTTCCTGTGCTGAACACAATCGCCAACATTTCTTTCTCAATAGGTGACCAGTTTAGCTCGGATGTACGAAGCTTTCGAGATGCATACGCTATGGGTTTGCCTTCTTGCAGAAGGACAGCACCGACTGCATTCTTGCTAGCGTCACATTGTATCTTGACATCCTTCTTGACATCATAATAGGCCAGTATAGGTGCTGTGCAGCATAGATCTTTGATGCGTTGAAAAGCGTTTTCCTGTGGTTTGTCCCAATGGAAGACTGTATCTTTCTTTGTTAGGTGCCGTAGCGGCTCTTCTACCTCAGCCAAGCGCGGTAAGAACTTGGCTAGGTATTGAACTGATCCCAGAAAACGGCGGACATCATCTTTGTTCTCGGGTGCTGGCATGTTTTTCATCGCTTCGACTTTCGTGGGATCCGGTTTGAGCCCATGTGCTGATATGAGATGTCCCACGTACGGCACTTCCTCTTTCCTGATCTTCACCTTGTCGAAGTTTAACTTCAAGTTGTAGCTCTGAGCACGATCAAGGACTTGTCGTAAGACAGCATCATGATGCGCTACGTCACGGCCAGCTATCAGAATATCATCCATAATGGCATATGCATATTCTATCCCCTCTAACATGTCATCCATTGCTCTCTGGTACATCTCTGGTGCGGATTTGATGCCAAAGGGTAGCTTTAACCAACGGTATCGACCTAACGGTGTGTTCATCGTTGTAAGGAGACTGGATTCATAGTCTATCTTCATTTGAAGATATCCACTCTTGGCATCCAATACTGAGAACACTTTGGCTCCGGGGATTTTCGTGGTAATTTCTTCCACTGTTTTACTAGGGTAGTGTTCTCGCTTTATCGCTTTGTTCAGGTCAGATGGGTCGATGCAGATGCGGATCTTCTCTCCTTTCTGTGCGACAACCATGGAATTAACCCAATCTGTGGGCTGGGTTACTTTTGCCAAATGCCCCTCTTTTTCCATTTCTTTTAGCTTGCTCGTAATCTTTGGTAGGAGCGCTGCGGGTTGCCTTCTTGGACCATGTACTACAGGGGTCACTGTTGGGTCAATCTTAATCGAGTATGTCCCTGGCATCGATCCTGTTGCATTTTCCAAATCTGGATGTTGGATAAGAAGCTCTTTAAGGTTGTGGTCGATTTCGTGTATTCGCTTTACTAGGTTTAAGGCTTCGCACACTTTTCCAGATAAGATTGGATTATGTGCCTTGTCAATGATGAAGAATTTCACCTTGATCTCTTTTTCCTTGTGTTTCACTTTTAGTGTGGTGCATCCTCTGGGCACAATCTGGTGTTGGCTATATGACACAAGTCGCTTTACTAGGTTTAAGGCTTTGCACACTTTTCCAGATAAGATTGGATTATGTGCCTTGTCAATGATGAAGAATTTCACCTTGATCTCTTTTTCCTTGTGTTTCACTTTTAGTGTGGTGCATCCTCTGGGCACAATCTGGTGTTGGCTATATGACACAAGTCTCTTGTGTGTTTTCTTAATCCGTGCATTGGGAGCAACACTTTGTAACTGCTTAGCGGTCATGACACTAGCCTGTGCACCTGTATCCAGTTGGCATTGCAATCTCCCATGGCCAACTTGAACAGTTTCCCACCACTTGTTATCTCTCGGCATGTCGTTTTCATTACCAACCTCATGGATCCTCAGGCTTTTGAGGTGCAGTAAATGCAAATTTTTGGCTTGCTGGTATTCATCATCAGAACTGTCTGTTTCTTCACTAGAGTAGGAATTTTTACCCATGCCGTGTATTTTCTTTTCTGCTCCTCTACACACTCTACCAAAGTGTCCCATCTTTCCACACTTGCGGCAGGTTTGGTTCTTGGCTGGACATTTCTCTTGTGGTTTGTGACTATTGTAACCACATCTTTGACACTTTGATGGGGCTTGTGACTCTTTTTCCGTGGATCTAGGTGTATTTGACCTCATTTAGTGCTTGCGTCTGGGAAATCTGTTGGGCTTTGTTGATACTCCATGCACCGTCACGTTTGGATCTTCCCCTGTGATTACTTGCATTCCATCTTTGGTAGCTTCAAATAATCTCCCTATATTTATGGCTGTTTCTAATGTTAAGTTTTTACTCTTTTCCAAACACCGTTGTTTTACCCTTTCGTCAAAAGATTTGCATGCTATAGCATTTCTTATTAGCTTGTCTGTTTGCTCAATGTCTAAGCCACGAGCCAATAATTTCAGGTCGGTTACAAAATCGTCAAATGTTTCTCCTTGTTTTTGGCACCTCCTGTCAAATTGAACTGCTGCCATAATAGGATTTTTCTTCGATGCTAATTGTTCTTTGCAGCAACTTTATCAAGAATATCTTTCTCACTTACTTGTTGGGTATTTTCGCCTGTTCCAACTTGAATTGTGTTCCATTGAAACGTAAGGTACATTTCGCGGCCTTTGTCTCCCACAAAACTCATGAGATTGCAAATCTTTTCCTTCTCTGTGCACTTGCTTAACGGGCCTCCAAATGCGAATTCACAATGCTGATAAAATCGCTCCCATTCTTTGTCGAGATCTTTTGCTTGCCAGTTCATGGTGGGCCAATTATAAGAGCTTGGGTATCCTTCTGCCATTTTTGTTGCTTTTGTTCACTCAATTCGATTTTTATTCCTTAAAACTAAAACAAAATCCCACTCCTGACACCATGTTGTATATTTCATACAGCCGCCATCTTTAATCTCAAGCAACCCTGATCTCTAACAATTAACTGAATACATAACAATTGCAAGAAAACAGAAAAAGTATGATTGAATTACAGACATCTAGTAAACAAGATGACACTACTCGTACCCGTACACCGAAACCGGGGTAGCTTAAACTCACTAATACTATATAAATCCGCGGTAAACAGACGAGTTTTCTTTATCAGCTTTTGCGTCTACTTTCCCGTCCAAACAGAGCATAAGCATAATACAATGACCTAAGCATAGCCTACCCACTCATGTTCAACATGTAAATTGTATACCTTAATATGGACATCCATTTCTTGTATACCAATCTGCAGTAATGCACTTATAGTTATACACTGTGCAAGTAGTGGATGATTATCATTTTTTACAGGTTAGCAAATAGATTAAAATCTGTAAACAAGTTTAAATATAAGTTCTTAACGAGCCCAAAGAGTGGATATTAAATAAAACTTAATCAGAATATAAATGTTTCGGAATAACAAAAATATTGCCATGTAACAGAGGAGTCAGTCCTGCATGACCCATGCCACGCACCTCGTCGGGTACAACTTATATACGACTTGAGCTGATGGTATAATTGTAATTTATTTATATAAATTATAATTAAACTATTTTAAAATGCTATTGTCGGGGCTGACCGCGTAACAGATAAGCAAATTTAATTACACATATTTCATAGGTAATATCAGTGCATGACGTAAGAGAATCGAGTTTCAGATACTTCAGGTATTGTAGGTACAGAGACAGTGTACAGTGAAGTCAGTGTGATGGACTAGTGTGATCTGTATAGCCCGTGCGCTATATAGCCAAGATCGTGTATCGTGATTTGTGAGAATCTCTACTTTTTATCTATTCTTTTACTTTTTGATATTTTTAGTAAAACCGTATAACCAAAGCATCATGAGAACATTTTCAACATCATGTTAAACAACAAAAGCCTTTTTGTTGCAACTTGTCAGCATGTAAGTCAATATGTCTGTGGCTATACCAAACTCCTTACAGCGGCCATATTGGATATTATTAAACGCGCAACGTCGGGTGCCTGGCTCTGCGTTTTGATGGTCAAAGAATCAAAAGCTCAACCAAAATTGAAAAAGGACAGAAGCATCGTAAAACCCAACCTCGCAAGCCAGGCTCTCTACTTCCGCTTCCCTCCCAAACACGCTCCATTTACTGTTCAAGAACATGCTTTTGCAACGTTTTTACTCGTTGATTTTGCCCAATCCTGGCGTTCAAATAGCATATAATAAGTATATGTCGATATATAGCGGTTAACCCTTCAAAATAACGCTCCTTACAGTGTGCATTGGATACACAAAACCTGTCGCCTCCATTTCCAATCACGTGAAAATAGGCAGTGTCACGTGTCTGTTCTGGCTGCCCCTACTCGAAAATTGGGGTAGTCAGAACAGTTCGGAACAGTCATGTGACTGTCTTCTGCAGTTCCGAAAATCCGGAGTACTCCAAACAGTGAACGGAGCAGCTTGCTGGAGCGTGTTTAGGAGGGAAGCGGAAGTAGAGAGCCTGGCTTGCGAGGTTGCGCAAAACCTAGACTTCCGCTTTGCTTCACAAAAGCACGAGTAAATATATGTATTCCACGGCACATGCATGCTGTGGTCGTTTCAGCAGCATTTGCTCCATACAGTCTGGATACGAAGATGTCACCGTTTTGTACCACGCTTGTACATGATGAGAGCAATGTTGTATAAAATGGTGCCATCTGGTATCTAGATGTACTAGGCATGCATGCACTGGCGTGGCCGTTGCATGTCAAAACACGCACTTGAGGAAGTTAAAATTTACTATGTGTTGTAATATCTCTATAGACAGTATATCCAAGATATATATAAAGAACAAGCTTGAAACTTTTCAAATTTTCAATCCAAAATAACTTCAAATTAACAAATATCATTATGTTTATTATTGGTACTGCTACTTATTAAGATTTGAAATTCCTTATCGGATTATAGTAAGTTGCTAATATTGAAAGTTAAAGTTAATATTATACAGACTTCAGACTTGACCCAATTAGTACATTTTAAACTTTAAATCATTTTGCACCCAAAGCTTGGAATCAGTCGCATTAATTAAAATGCAAATTAACATATTCAGCTAAAAATTGACGTACCTTGCTTCTTATTGAGCAATACAATTATTGAAATTGAATTGGTTTGGAATTTGGTCACCGAAACCCTATAGCCACTTTTCCACTTCAAGCGTACCGTACCGAAACGTACCAAAAAAATTTTAAATTTCAAAATTTAGTGAATGTTGATTGGTTAATACTTCCGTAGTACGCCAAAAAGTTGATTGCGACAAACTTTTAATTTTGATATGCGAATACACCCGGAAGTACGTGGATTTATCAACCTAGCTCTTTTCAATCTACGCATGCTGACCAGTACGTTTCGGAAGACCCTGGGGACGAGGTTGGTGTATGTATTTGTCATTATGAAATAAAATTTTGTTTGGCGTGATCACATGAGACCGAGGAGCGAACACATGCATATAAGTGTACTTCTCCATGTAAGATGCAAAAATCACGGACGCAGGATGAATTTATCTACCAAAGAAAGGATATATTCATATATATTTCATATAGGAGGAGACCATTACTTGAGGGACAAAAAGAAACCAAAGGCAAAGTAACACATTTTCAATTGATATTTTATTCGCGAGCGCATATATAGTAATATGTTACTGCATGACTACAATCTATATACAAAAGTTTAGCACGCAATGGAAATAATTCCATCATAGTTATGGTGATTTGGTCTAGAATTGTAATTGGTATATTATAGTGTAATTCGCTAGTTTCCCATGTAGTTCGAACTCGTTTAATTAAACACGCATATTGAACACTGACACTGGCTTGTTTACTCTCAAAGGCGACGTTCGGAACACTCACTGCATGATATCGACTCTATATAGTTTCTATTGCTACGCAAATTAAAGAGTCTACGTTTTCTCGCAGCAACTAATAGCGGCATATCTACAGTAAGCCTGATTGATTACTTGTGTGACATTTCCCTAAGGCTAAGTAATCCATCACCATGCATAGCAACATTGGCTTGTTCTGTATTTTTATATATAAGGCACTGAAGACCCTGCTTTTACATATAAGGCACTGAAGTATTTCTATACCACAAAAAGCCGAAAGGACTTAAAACTTACTATTTTTACGTTTTTCATGATTCAAAAAGCTGAAACGTCTCTAATATTAACAAGCAACATTCCGGAGAGATCGGAAGAGCACA